ATATATTTTTAGGTGCTGTTTGCACTTCCATGCTAAGAGCAGCTGCATTAAGAGACACTCCCCATGGGATTGCAATGGCTCCCCTCTTTTCTTAAGATTAGGTGATATGTTCCTTTTTTGTCCCCTTCCCCCCTATTTTACTTGCTTCTATTTTAGGTCTGTGTTATTTTAGGTTATCTGTGTAAGATGCCTTGTGGTCAGCTGTTGCCTTGAGGTTGTCAGTTAAAGCTTCTACATGGTTTAAACAGTTGATCTTCGTGATGTTGTAGTAGTAGAAATACAAGGAGCTGTGTCAGAGCTGCCACTAATGAATTCCAAGCAGCCTGCTTTCCTACACGTTGCAGCATTTTGTGCTATCTGATATGTATTTGTAGTTGTTTGTGTCTTATGACTGAGCAACTAGCTAATTGACTAGTTTGTTTATTTATGGTTATATACTTTGCTATATGGTTTTGGGTGCTGTTTGCAATCCCCCGGCAACACACATGCAGCACACGCTCTTGTAAGAAAATTACACTCACTAAATTGTACATGTGGCCTTAAAGAAGAACTCTGGATATAGTAAAACATAATCCTTTTAGGGTTGAGCGCCTGTTTTAGTCTAGGGTCTAAAATAAAGATATACTCACCCGAATCTCAGTCCCACCTGGCTGCTAGACCAGTACCTGCAGCTCCTCTCCCCCTCTGCTTTGGTGGTCTAAGGACCCATAAGTCATCATGTCTAATACAATATATTAGGCGTGAGGACACAGAGGGACATTCCATCGCTGGAGCAGAGAATCCACTTTGTGTCTACTAACTGCCAAACCCAAATATTACCTTGTAAGAGTAGCATTGCTGGGCTTCACCTAGCCTGGGCAGACAGAAATATTGCAGGTGGAACCCAATAGGTCCTCTCACTACAGGCTGCCTGCAGAAAATTACAGGAGGTGGCAGATGCAAGACCATACACCCTGCACAAAGAGCAAGAACAGCCATGACTGGCCTTTTCTTACAAGAAACTCATGAGCAGAAGTGCAGGAGTTCTTACATGTTGACTACTGCACAGATCTGGGGGAAAAAATACACACGTCTCTTGTATTTAGACAATACTTGTTTAGCTGGAGTTTGGTTTAAGATTAAGACTTAGTTCAGGAAGTAATATAAGCTTTAGCAGTCATTTATTCCACTAAATAAAATATTCCACTAAAAAAATTAAAAATACAGTCTAGTAGTTTTGTTTTCAATGGATCCTTCAGTGAAAATGTTATCTTTCAGCTCTGAGATCATGTTGACAATTTGAGATACTCCAACATACTGTACTGACTTTCAAGCCATTGGGTTTTTTTTACACTATGAAGAATGTGATAAGAGGAGTGAGGCACTTCAGCTGCTGTGGACAGAGTGAGTCTATGTAGCAAGGTAAGGGCCAGAGGGAACTCTGCCCTTGCTGAAGAAGTCTCAGGGGCATAGTAAACCAGCAAGCTAAAAGAGATTGTCCAAAGAGCAAAGTTTTCAGTGCATTTACCATTTGAATACAGATTCAGAAAATTGTTCATTAACTATTGTTCCATAAATTAACAAGTTATTTTCTTCGGCAGTGCAAGCCATAAATGTTTAGCATGTATAGGCAAATGCATAGAAATACATTTGTTACTGGTCTTGGCAAAGCAGGGCAATGTGTCAGCTGCTGCCAAACAGATTCCCCCAAAATGCTCTGTCAGCTTTGTGTAGCATTTTTGTAAGCAGTTTCCTTCTACATTTTAGGAAATGGGCCAATGTCCCCAAGTAAAACACTTACCAAGAATATGAGGGGAAGCCTCGTCTTCTTGGATGAACACATGTCTAGCACCAGGTGGGATGTCAAACATCTTAAGATATCCTAAACATGCATTGTGTTCAAGCAGAGAAAAACAAAACAAAAACAGAAGAGGTTAGTATAGCATTATATGAAAAAAGCTAAATAAGCTGGACCCTTCCGGAGCTATGAAAGAAAAAAGTATAATTAGTTGCAAAATTGCATGTTAATGATTACATTTTCCCTAAGGAAAAAAATTACGGTGTTTTGTTTTTTTCCATGAAGACATGGAAAAAAACAGAGAAGGACAAAACATTCAATTTTCTTATGTTAGGATGGGTACATTTTAGAAGTTGCTGATAATTCCAGATCAGGATGCAATATTTGAATTATAATGCTTCTGATGATATTACGGACATAAGAAAATAGAACATTCTGGCCTTTATTTAATAGGAAGCTTACAAACAGCAATGATGTGCAGTTACAAGTAGCAACCAATCAGATTACAGTAGTATTAGGGTCTGACCAGTACCAGTGTAAGGTAGTCTCTGATTGGTTGAGCTAAGTTCTGCACTTTGCGTTTGCCTTATTAAACAAAGGGCTGTGTCTCCTCTGCAGAGAAGCCTGCTAGGACCTAGTGGCATGTGCAGTCATCATCACAGACTTCCTGCAGTCTGTGATGCCACTTACCCACTGTATTTTTGGACCATCTTGATTCAGTAAGGGAGATGTTTCGAGCTCCCTTAGGTAATGTGAATGCTCCTCTTGTTTTCCCTAAATTGATCAGTTTTAATTAGTCCACTAAAAAACACACTTCTTTCATTGACTACTCTAAAATGTATGAAATAATGTTGCAAATGCTAGAAGGCATTGCATATATGGGGATATGTATCAAATCTAAGAATCTTTTTTATGAAGGCTCTTTCATACAGGTCAACAATCAGGCAAGTTACAAAAAGAATTAATGTACATTTTCTTTAGGTGCAGCCCAGATTTAGTCAAGGCATTCTTCTATTTTGGATACAGTTGGGTTAGGTTCCCTCCTTTGCAGGGTATATATAGCTTTCACATAGGGTTAACCCTAATCCTGGCAAGGCTAGATAAGGATTGGATCTGTAGATCCTTAGCAACCTTTGCTGGTCTTTACCGAGGAACATATAGTGCCATAGGAAACACCCCAAGGTTAAGATACTGTACAAAGCTGAATCTGCCATAGCCATGTGGGGAATTCTATCTGAGGGGTAGAATTGATCAAACCCTATTCCACTGCCTCAATAATCCACAGAAAATGGGTAGTGCATGTATGAATTACAGTTAAAATAAAGTATGGCCTCTGGACAACCATAAACTGGGTACAAAAGACAAAAATGTTTTAGATAAACTAGGTACTATTTTTGTGAGAATTAGGGGTCTATTCACTAAGCTGCCTAGGGCAGCCGAGTGAACAACCGACCCCAAGTGAAGTGAGCCGAACACTGTTCAGCTATTCACTTCAGGCTTGTACGGCTGATTTCAGCCTTATATATCGGCTGCAATCAGCTGTACATCGGCTTGCTCCGCATGGCTTCGGGTCGGCCGAACATGCTCTGTTCTGCATGTTCGGCCGACCCGAAGTGCAGAAGGAGTTCAACT